TGTGTTCTAAACACACGAACAGCAGCAAGATGAGCAAGTGCTAGGAGGGATACTAGAAAAAGCGCACCCAAATAAACCACTAATATATATCCTCGGCAAACCTCCAGCATACACTGCATCCATTGAATAAAAAAAGGCTGTTTTTGCCAGGGAGATGGCTCAGTAGAATAAGCACTTCCCTGGCAAGCGCAAAGGCCTGAGTTCAATCCCTGGCTCTGTCCCTCCCCCCCAAAAAGGGCTGTTTTTAAAAAGGAGTAGAAAGTAAGTATTCCTGAAAATTAAATATATGATTGTTAAAATACAAATGAGAAACATCAAGGAACTCTAGACAAAAAGGTGAAAACTATGAATAAAAGGTTAAGAGATAAAAACAGTGATCCATAATCTGTCAAGCAGTAGTTCCAGAAAGAGCAGAAGAGGAGCAGGAAGAAGGAATATTTATTAATTTTTAAAAAAAGTATTCATTTATTTATTTGGTACAGGGTCTCTCTATGCAGCTCGGACTCAAAGCGATCCTCCTGTGTTCAGCTTCCCCAGCGCTGGGATTACAGGGGTGTGCCACTATGCCCGGTCTCAGTGGGTGGCACCTCATGTGGAGCTGGGGATCCAACCCCGGTTCCTGCATTTGCTTATTCACCAGCCTCTCAACACAGCTTCGAAAAGCAAATATAAACACTTCTAGAGAGAAAATAGTATGAGAAAAGATCTGGTGTTACTTTTTTCATAAGTGATATTTGATATTTTAAGAAAAAAAAGCCAATAACCTGAAAAGGCTGAGGGAAATGGAATATTATTTAGCCTCTAAAAAGGAATTCTAACTTGCGTTACAGCTGGGTAAACCTTAAGGTCATTAAGTGAAACCAGTAAGCACAGCAAGTCCCTCATGTGAGGTCCCTACAGTGGTCACCTTCACACAGAGTGGGACAGCAGTTGCTAGGACTGGGGATAAGGAAGAGGGAAGTTAGCACTGAATAGGCACATTTGCAGTTTAGGCAGAAGGAAAACAGCTACAGGTAAATGGGGATTGGCACTGAGCCCATACTTCAATCTAGTAAATCATATGTGTGTGTGTGTGTGTGTGTGTATATATATATACACACATTTTTTTTTTTTTTTTTTTGTTTTGTTTTCTTGGTCTTTCTGAGACAGAGTCTTGCTATGCAGTTCAGGCTGCCTTGAGCTCACTTTGTAGCCCAGGCTAGTCTCGAACTTGCAATGATCCTCCTGCCTCAGCCTCTGGAGTGCTGGTATTATAGGCTCTTTAATATATTCTGACAATTAAATGCATTTTAATTTCATTAAGAAAGCTTTCAAAGAAATCACATTATCCCCTGAACAATTTCAGAGTGTAGGATGGACAGTTTAAATGTTACCCACTTACGCAGCAACCATTAAGAACAGCAGCCATGGCCCTGTGCTATCCCATGGCCATGGTCCTCAAAAAGGGCCACAAGGTGACTACGAAAGTGAGCTAACCAACACACAGCCACTGTCGCAGATGCCTCACCAAACGCATCAAGTTCCTGTGGGACATGATTTAGACGGCACACCATGGAGCTGCTCAAGGTCTCCAAGGACAAATGGGCCTCAACATCAAGAAAAGGGTGGGTGGGTCAGCCAGATAGCTCAGGTGCAAGGACTGTGGTTCAATTCCCCTGTTGCTGTGCTGGCCCCACCCCTGGGGCGCGCTGAGACAGTGATTGAGACTGGGCATGGCGGTATGTGCCCCTGTAATCCCAGCGCTGGGGAAGCTGAAAACAGGAGGATCACTATGAGTCCTCTCTGTGTAGTGAGACCCTGTAGACCCTGTACTAAGTAAGTTAAAAAAAAAAAAAAAAAGGGGGGAGATGTACCTCCATACCAGGAGGAAGCAACGAGGTGCTGAGCAACGTGTTGGCCGCCATGAGAAAGGCAGCTGCCAAGAAGGATGCGCTCCTCTGGAGTAAAGCTTTGCAGTGAAAGAAAGAAAAGAAAAGAGAAAAAAAGAAAAACACAAGTTACCCACTTGCCCAGAGAAGAGAGTAATTACTTCCCTATTAGTGCTACATCTGAGAGAGCAGCAGAAGAGCTGGGGGCTCGCAGCACAGGGCTGCACATGGGGCGCGCTCCATCAGAGCTCCTCCTCCTCCGCCCCTGCACGGGAAGCCTGAGTCGCTCAGCATCAGGCACCCCACGCCGTCCCAGTCAGCCGCTCCGCCTGTGCCCTCTCTGCCTAAGGACTCCTGAGACATCCCACTCACCGCCCTCATCTTCTAGGCCTCCGGATTGCATGGCCCATGAACAGGAGAGCTCTCACTGCAAGCATCCTCCTCCTACCTGTGACACCATACTCTGTGATCTTCCCAGCCCCGTGGCCTTTCCTGCTTGCTCCATGTCTCTTGTGGCTCCTCCCTGCTCTGCAGCTGGGTCCTGGGGCTCCCTTGCTTATCCACTCTCCTGGGATGACCCTTCCTGGTCTCATAGCTGACAGAATCTTCTCTGCAGCAGGGACTCCTCAGTACGTCCCTCTTCCCTGAGCTTCAGTGTCCACTAGACATGTCTCTCTAACTATTGCCCAATCTCCAGCCCAACGCTGCTCAGATGCCTCCTTCCTTCCCACCTGAGACCACACCTCCGCAAGGCATTTGCTCAAGGAAATGCCAACACCACCCCACCAGGTCCTCTCTCCAAGAGCTGAGTCTGTAAGCCACAGGGCTAAGAGCATATCCTCTGCCCACTGATTAAAATACAACTCTGCTATTTATATTCGGTAACCATATCACCTTGGGCAAGTCAGAGTTCTTATAAAAATTATATGCCTTCAACTGCAGTGGGGAGCAAACACTTATAATCCCAACATTCTGGGAAACTGAAGCAGGAAGATTCCAGTTGAGTTCTATTTGGGACATTTAGAAAGACCCTATCTGAAAATAAAAAATAAAGGGGGTTAGGAATACAGTTCAGTGCAAAAGCTTGAATTTTCACCCCAGTACCTCCACCAAAGGATTACATACCTTAAATTCACACAGCACTGTAAACTCTTAATTGCCCCACAGTGAATCTGCAGTGACTGTCATTAACACCTCATTTTTTATTTTTTTAAAATTTATTTATTTATTTGTGTGTGTGTGTGTGTGTGTGTGGCCAGCTCAGCCCACCAGGGGGCGGGCTGGCTGGCATGTGGTGCTGGGGATTGAACTGCGGTCCCTGTGCTTTGCTAAGCTTGTTCTAAGTAGGTGCTTTAGACCACTGAGCCATCTCACCAGCCCAACACCTCATTTCTAACCCACCAGTCACCTATGTCATCAGTTGTAGAATCACAAATGTCTGCTCCCCTCCTCGCGCCCTGCTGCCCATCCAAGCCCCTGCGGCTCTCCTACTCTCTGTCCCCTGTGGCCTCAGGGCCCCCTTCTGTTCTCAGGGGAGCCATTCTCACACAGCAGCCAGCACAGCTCTTCACTCCTCTGCACAGTCAAGGAACTCCGCTCCTCATATCCTGCAGGTTTTCTCATTATACTTAGGCATAAAACCCGAGTCCTGTCCTCAGCCTTGAGTGCTTTTTGCTAGTACCTAGTCACCCAGTAGAATCTCTGTGGAGCTTTGAAGATCATCCAGCCTTCTCCTCTACCCAGGAGTACACTGGGCAAAAATTAATTAATTAATTTGGCAGAACCGGGGATTGAACTCAGGCCCTTGCGCTTGCCAGAGAAGCGCTTACTCTACAGAGCCATCTGCCTAGCCCCTGGGCAAAAATTTAAAAGTGCCCCAGGTAACATTTTTACCCCAATACTGGGGACTGAACCAAGAGCCTCTGCACTGAGCTACATCCGAACCTTTTTAATTTTGAATCAGAATCTTGCCAAGTTGCTCAATGGCTGGGCCTGCCTCAGCCTCCCAGAGCCCCGGGGTCACCGATGTGCCTGGCTCCAGCAGGTGACCCTCACATTCAGCAGGGTGGGTAAGCACCACTCCACCGGGCCTGACCTCTACCCGCTTCTCCAGTGTGCTACCCCTTCAAGCTGCGCACTGCTGGCTGGCCTTCTTCCTTCTCTTGCGAACGGCTTTGAGCTTCAGGGACTTCGCACAGGTCTTCTTTCACCTGCGAAGCTCTTCCTCAGATGTCTCCTAGTTGGCGTGCAGCCTTTGCTTAAACATTAGCTCCTGAATGTGACTCTGTTTGACAGCCCACTTGAAAACATCACCAGAGATCACTTTGCTTTACTTTTATTAGAACATTTCAAGGGGCTAGTGACATAGCACCTGCCTGGTGAGCTCAAGGTCCTGAGTTCAATTCCCAGTACTCCCCCCACAACCAAAATTCAATGCTGTGTGTGTGTGTGTGTGTGTGTGTGTGTATGTGTGTGTTTTGTTATCTTGCTTTCCCCAGGAAAATATAAGCTGTGGAAGACATTAGCAAATTGTTCATTGCTATGCTTTTAGGATGCAGATCAAGCAAACAGTAAGTGTTTAAGAACTACATGTGAAAAAGGTTAATGAAGAAATGAATAGGCATGTTTAGAAATTAGGTGCCGTGGCTATCTTCCACAGCTTCAGAGTGATGTGTACTTCCTTTTGTTTATGTGCTATTTCTTCCAGAAGGACAATGGCCTCCAACATCTCAACATGATCCGTGGCAAACCTCACCCCGCGGATAATCACAGCCCCTTACAGTAACCATATGATTTACATCCTTTACCTTTGTCTTCCCTCTAAACTTTTATAGGAACTGCTAACAAAGTCAAATAGATAAAGTGGTGAATTTAGTTTCCTCCCCAAGATTGTAGCAGACAAATTAACAAAGAAAGACATAAATCTTTAGGGGTAGAAGAAAAAAAAAAAAAAAAAAGCATGTACTAGGTAGCCACAGTGACTGGGCACCTGAAGCTCAACACTCAAGGCCCTGAACTGAACCCAGAATGCCTCCCAGATCAATGAAAGCTTCTTCAAGGTTCCTAAGACATTGCTGCTAGCGGAGGGCGTGTAGCAGCACCTCACGGGCAGACATGGAAGGACCACATTACCTTTGGGACATCTCCTTTAGCACCCGGGGGCAGCCGCAGGATCCAGAAGTTGCGGTTGCGCAGCAGGTTCTCCATGTTCTCCAGCCGCCGCTGCAGCAACCCGTACTCCTGCAGCAGCGTGCCCAGCACGGCCCACTTGCCCTCCAGCTGGCTGCTGAGTTCAGTCACTGTCTTCTCACAGCTGGCCAGCTTCTTCTCGGCCGTCCCTGTCCTGCCTTCTAGGTGCAGGAGCCGCCGGCTGTGGACCTCCACCTTCCTCTCGATGGCCTGCACAGCAGCCACCACGGTCCACAGGGAGATGGCTGCGGTCTGCAGGTGTGCGTCACTGGCAGCTGGGGGGGGTGGTAGTGGCAGGGGCTGCAGGGATGTAAGGCACTCGGAGTCCCATTCAGCAGTCTGTGTGCAGGGGACAGATGGAACAAGACAGTGTTAGGAACTCTCAGTCCAGTCTGCAGTCAGGTGAGGGTTGAGCTGAATCTAAACATTTTGGTAAGGTTTACACAGTGCCTGTGTCAGCCTCTTCATTCAAGAGTTCACTGGCATCCAAAACTAGGAGAACGGCTATGGTAGTTCCGCCATGGTTTGGAAAAACAGTGAGTAAATGAAACTGGCTTTTTAAGAAGTGGTCAGGCACACTTCCTCTAGTAAAAGCCCTCTATCTCTGGAAAAGGCAGAAGTCCACAAGATCCTTCCTAGGTGCTACTGAGCTCAGTGCCCTCCGACTTACAATTCTTTTAAATTTGTGCTTGGAGCCAGGCGTTGTGGCATACGGCTACAATCCCAGCTCTGGGAGGCTGAGACAGGAGAACTGCATGAGTTCAAGGTTCCACTGTGAGCTTAATGCCAGCCTGGGCTGTATAGTGAGATCCTTTCTCAAAACAAACAGTAATAATAACAATAATAGAAATAAACTCATGCTCTGGCCCAGTCCCCCCCTCATTCACATACAACCACATCAGTCCCATTAAGTTGAACTGAGGATGTTGAATCTAGAGAAAAACATGACTGTTTTCAAATATTTGAGAGTCAGAATAACAGAACAGACTTGTTTAATCTTCTACTGTGGTACTCCAAAGGGCAGATTAGAGCCAACATATGAATATTTCCTGGAATACGTCATTTTAGCTACTTCTTTCCAAGCAAATATTAGGTTGCTCTACCCTGAACATATTTGAAGCAAAGAATAGTAAAAAAGGAAAACATTCCTACAACATGTAAGAGCTCGGACTATGATGACCTCTATAAAGCCACCTAACACTAAACCCGATAAACCCGCCACTCCCTGGCCCGACCTCCTCCCTCCACCATCCTTGCCGGATCTGCAATTCCATCAGTAGGCGCTCCAGCGTTCTGAAGATCCCACTTGCTCCCAGGCTACCTGCCTGGCCTGTGCTTTGCTTTGGTCCCCGCCATTTCAGTCACACTTCCTCCGTGTCTCTGCCCCTCTCGCTCAGCCAATCCCCAGCCCTGAATCAGACTGGGCCCACTCAGTCTGTTCTGGGGCACTGGCCTCAGGCCCTGTTGAAGGAAACCATGCAACAGCTGGGGTGCTGGCACACAGACCGGAGGACTCCAGCTGGACGTGGCCCTCAACGCTGCGTGGTGGCCCGGCTTCTCTTCCCATCCCATACAATGGCTACTACAAACCCTCAACAATTGCACCTACCAATCAGATGCACATCTTGTTCATATAGAAATTATGAGACAAAAAGTCTGAGAGAAAAAGGGGAGCCTACATTCACACCCGCTCAACGCTTCATATTCCTTCCCATTCCAAACTCATCAGTAACTCAATACATGCTGTCATCTTTCCTTCCCAAGGGAAAAATGCTTCCTTTTTCCACTTCCGCTCTGCATGTCAATCATTCCACCTTTTTAGCTACCTTATTTTATCATCAGTATTTTCATTTCTACCATTCTTCTCCATAAAATGGAATCTCCCTAATCCATAGCGTTGCCGCTGTCTCCAAGGGGCCTCTGAGCACGAGATGGCCTGGTTCCACTGAGACGTGACCCGAGAATACAGCACACAGGCGATTTCAAAATCCGAGTACATAAAATGCTGCACTATCTCATTGCTAATTTTCTAATGTTGATTACGACTGAAATAACATTGTACAAACCTTAAGTTAAACAAAATACATCAAGTTAATTCCATGTATGTCTTTCTCTTTTTAAACATGACTACTAGAGAATTTAAAGGTATGTATGTAGCTTTCATTAAACTTCTAATGTATCCGGGCGTGGTGGCACATGCCTGTTATCCCAGCACTGGGGAGGCTGAAGCAGGGGGATCACTGAGCTCGAGGCAAGCTTGGGCTAGATAAGTGAGTTTGAAGCCAGCCTGCAACACAGCGACCCTGTCTCAAAAATGAAAACCATTAAAACTTCCATTTGATATATAT